ATAAGCAGGTTTGACTGTACTACCATATTTAAACTGAATTGTGTCAAGTGTAAGATGCATAAACTTGGAAATGTTGGATAAGGTTGAGAAAATTTCTATTGCATTGGTCAATTGTCAATAGGCCTAGTTGGGCTAGCCCAACTGTAGCACTACGCCTAGGCTTAGGCCTATCGCAAAGACTGCATCCTGATTTAACACAACAGGAGAAAGGCATTGTGGGAAGGAAAAAGGGGCAACATTATTGCCCCTTTTTCCTTCCCACAATGCCTTTCTATATTCTACCAAACGGTATCAACATAAACAATAACATGATTGGGCAAGGACTGTCTGGTCACTCATGTCATGGCACCACACTAATTCCATCATGTCCATAGCCAGACTAGTAATATAAAATGGCTCTGAACTGTAATCTTGCGAGTCGATTTGGCGCGCAATTCATTATAATATGCAGGCATAATACCTCCGTCATCGCAGCGTGCAGGTCACGGTTGCCACTTTACTCAATGACGTTCATGTGCTCGAAGGCCTACACAGGCAACAGTGCCATGACTGCATCATGCATGCACTGTAGGCCTACGAACTAAATGGCAACGCGACTGCAACTTAGTGCAACTTGGACGCACATTGGAACGGTACACAAAAATAACACCCCAGCTGAATAAAACACTTACTTGATCCCTCCTATGTGGAAACTAAAACTTGCGAGGTGAAGTATTGTAACAACACTGAAGTATTTGCTGGTCAAAATTGACAACCTACAAGTTGCGCAGAACCCTTCCCCACGTACAATAAAGTCCACTTATGTGTATACGTACGTATTCATTTGCTTGCGCTCCACAGTCAAAATGGCCGACCCATCTCTGCGCTACTTACTTTTTGCTGTGCGTTCCACACACATGCACAATGCACGTAATTGCATGGGCCGTGGCATAGCGTTTGTGCACACGATACGCGATTCGTGGGTTGGACGAATCCGGGTCGAACCGCAGACAACCTGCCGCTCTCCCTATGCCATGAATGGCACACGCCATACGGGCGCGCACCGCGCTCATCCAATGAGACACGACGGTCGTCTACATACGATGAATATTTATTACCTAGAAACAGCCACCAATGAGAACTCAGAACAAGCTTGACAACATACCGGGATCGAAGAACCAGGCTTACTATACCGCGTAGTTGTACAGACGCGCGTGCTAAGCGGTTTCTGGACTTGAACTGAACGCAATTGCGGGAACGCAAACAATGTTATCATGACAAAATGTGGCGAGTAACCTACTCACACACAAAAACGCGTGTTAGGAGAGCAGCGTTAGTGTAACAATTTCACGAGATGACTGATAAAATGTTCCGTTCCACGGGCCAACCTATTGATTCCGTCGACGTCTGAATAAATTCTGGAAGAGCTAAATAAATCCGAATAAATTTTTGCATCATGTACACATTTAAAAAGCTCTTGCAACCTTGGATAGATAAACGGTGCGTCGCTCGACTATTTACATAATAGAATATTATGGAACGTTCCATTTTGATGTGCGGCCGCGTGGTGAAGACAAATAAGTCATATGAGTATCTGACATATCAGCAGTCGATTGATGGGGGCTACAGTAACGTGTATGGCTCTACATACAACCCTGTCGGTTTCTAATCGCAGGTTGCATTACGAGTGATACGAGAAAAACAGTCGGGTCACATCGAAAATGGTGACAAAAATTACATCGAAACGGATCGGAGTCTAACCAGAAGACATTGAAATTGAATACTATCAGTGAAATGATTTCATATTCGGGCATTTTACGCCTATTTAAGGTAACAGCACAAACTACTCGAATGTCTGTTTATGGTAATACACTGTAATTAAGAACCTACCTTAGGACGATCGTGCGTAAAAGACGCCAATGCAGCTTGTTTTCGGCATTATCGTCATCTGCATGTCGTGTTAAGTTGGAATTACTTGGCGGAGGCCAGGAGTAATACATGAGCGGAAATCAACCGTCAGGCAGATGCTGCTAGAACCTATTTTACATAGATGTATGTGTTACTATACTGGCTGCTGTAGATAGCCAAACCATTCTGATGCAGCGACACATTTCGCAAATTCCTACCAGTCTACCAAGAAAACGATTTCTCTGATAAGGCGCACTTTTGCGACTTGACACTATTCACAGAAGCTATCTTGTTCGTAAGTGTGACGTCACTTCAGTTTAAACCACGCCCTCTGCACATACACTACACATAAAGTCACGTGAATTGATCATCGTTTACACGGCTATGGAACCGGAACTTAACGCGAAACTTCAGCGATCGTCCAATGGCAGCCTGCAAATCGTTGCGCGTCCGCGTGTGTGTCGAAGTCACCTACGAACCGGATAGACATAGGGTGCGTTCGATTAGCATACACGTGTAAGTCAAACTTACACGAGAGCGTTCGTTTAGCCATCACGTGATGTTCGTGCCTGCCCTGGTGTCAGCCACCACTACCCCAGCTGGCGAGCGGGTCTCTGGAGGTTGCCCGAGTGTAATGACGTCACGGATGGACTGTTCGAGCATGGACGTACATGATGGAATGAGGCGGGGACTTGACATTTTTCCCAGAATGCCTTGGAAAACACACTGCGGCGTTTGATAAGCCTCATTTTGAGGCTTCCCTCGTGTGTAACGTGTATTCGAGGAAGCTAATCGAACACACCCATTATCTTTAGGCAAACATGAATTCTCAGTTCTGATTGGTCGATCCATGGCAACAAACAGTGTGATATATAACCGTATTGCACGGTTCATATGAAACCCTGCGTAATGGGCTGTTCTAACTCTCAACGCATTGCGCATTTTTAAGCTAAAAGCAAACGCACATCTGCATGACTGTAAATTTAAAAGTCGCGTGTTTGCCCGTGCTGATCATCACCTGTTTAAACGCATGTACAATTCAAACAATTTCCTATGGTTACCCTCCCCAGCTCCCCAAGTCCTCCGGTCACTGTTGTCATCTGGAGCTGGACCGCAGGCGGCGCACTGAGACCCAACAATAGGTGCGTTCGATTAGCTTCTCTGAATACACCAGCGTTACACCAAGAGAAGCCTCCAAATGAGGCTCATCGAACGCTGCAGCGTATTCGTCAAGGCATTCTGAGAAAAAGGTCAAGTCCCCACCACGTTCCATCACGTCCATGAACGAACAGTCCATCCGTGACGTCATTACACTCGGGCAGCCTCCAGAGACCCGCTCGCCTGCAGGGGTAGTGGTGGCTGACACCAGCCTGAGGGCTGGAACGAAGATCACGTGATGGCTAAACGAACGCTCTCTGTAAGTTTGACTTACACGAGGACGGAAGCTAATCGAACGCACCCATTGAGAAGGGCCCGGGGTTGGGGACCCAACGAGATTCGTCCAGGATTGTAGCTGCTTTTAATTTCAAGTTGGGGAGAATATCATTACCCCAGCAAAAATACGGGCGATTTGCAATTAGTTCGCCTCCGAGAGTTTGCAACGCGTTATTGTGACCAACCCCCGTCCAATGCGCGAAATTTGTCGACCGTTTCCAAACGCGCATTGGGTCCACAGATTTCGCGCTCTGGGATTGGTCAACGCGTTGCAAATACTGTCATGTAACACCCGTATTGAAAATTGAAGTGGCAAAGTTTGCCATGCCCGCTGTGACATGCCTCGGTGTCGGTGCGAATGTACAGAATCTGTGCTCTCCACAATAGAGTATCGAACTGTGACGTCACTGTGAACCAGAAAGTGCAGTGCAAACGAATGGAGTACGCGCTCGTGTTGGTTCACGCGTTGGTTCTCGCGCTAATGCCTTTTACACACTAATTGTGCGCGTGACGTATTCATTTCGGAACTCTACTGACAACTTTGCACAGTGTTCTCGGTGCGTAAACAACTGCAGCTTGATTTTTACTACCAAGAAGGGTCCATCTCACGGCGACATAGCGCACAAGAGTGCTGGGTCAACTTTGCCCTTACGATAAAAAATGACACTGTTTCCCAACAATACCTATACCAAACCCCCTAACTTGAACATGGCCACGTGCAGGATACCCAACTGGGTTCACAAGATGCTACTGAAAGAATTTTGGTGTCACTTTTGACCATTACATAATGTCATTGTAACGTTACAGTCACAGTATAAATGTTGAGGCTGCATGTAATTGAGTCCTCGATTGCGGACGTGGACTCCATGCAAATCTTGAAATCCTGAATATGACGTGCACACGTTGAAACCAGGGCAAATGTTCAAACATGTACGGTTGCGAAACCTCACCCTGATAGGAAAGATGAGACTGGGTGAAAAACAAACAGAGAAAAATCTGAATAGAAACTAAATTGGAGGGAGACGTCTGAATCTGTGCGCATTCATGTAAACGCGCGATGTTGACTGAATGTGACAGTCCCTCGTTGTGTCTAGCCATCTAGCCTCCTTTTTCACTTTCAAATTTTCCTTGACTGGCGACTAATTGCCGCAACGCTGCTTGTGTAGTCATTGGTCTAAAACCTCACTGTTGAGAGATATACTTGTGGCAAACATGAGTACTGTTAATGGTACCACCGTAATGTATTGCTCAATGGGAAAACTATCTGGTACTTTTCAATGAATAATCTTTTTGGTATTACTTCTACTGATACAAGACATTTTGGGCCAATAGTGCAATCAAATGTCATTCATTATTAGTTGATTGGAGAGTTGGAGAACAATAAATTGATATATCCGGGGGAAAAACAACCCCTAACTTATTTTGGGTGTTGAAAGTTTTGACATTCGATTTCCATCGCAATCCATTTGTAGGCATCACTGTTCACCTAATCTGTGTAAATTGTGCAGTACTTCCAAATGAAGAGATGGCAATTGATGTATTTTTGTCTTTAAATAAAAAAAAAGAACACTGCACTTGTTGCTAGCTTGTTATAATCGCTCAGATTTATTTCCTGCTAAGCCAAAGTCCCACTGAGTCCCCAAACAAAAGACCATCAATGCAAGTACACCACACAGTGATTACGCGCACACCAATTTTATTTCAACTTACGCATTTGTCCAATTTACAGAGATTGTGTCCAGTATATTACCGCTGAATTTATGTGATAAACATTTACAGGCACTTGGTTGGTGGTGCTGCTGACCTAGCCTTTTCTTTTTATCTCTTACAATACCAGAGTAAACCTATGCATTTTAAGCTCCAAAAATATATGTCTATAAAGTAATATTGTCAAATAATTACTTTGGTTAACAGCTGATATATCTGTACACCAACAATTACTTTACATAGTGACCAAGAAGAAGTTTACCAAAAGGTAGCTTCAAATTACAACACGAATGCTCAGTACTAAACGATCTTCTAATAATGGTTTCACAGTGCCAAAGTGGGCGCAAGATACAAGTTGTTTCCGCTGACAATGGGACTTCTTGACATTTGGTTTCGGAGGGATTTGGAGATCTTGTGGGAACCAAGCCTGTCGAGGGTTTAGCAGACACTGAAGGCAATCTATTTGCTTTCCTTCATGGACTTCAAGTACCGAGCCAAAATGTCATTATAGATCACAAGCTCTTCTTGGAAAAAGGGCTTACGCACAAAACGTGGTACATGTACATGTATTTGATTCTTTTTTCAAGCATTTGTGAGAAACGGGGAAGGTTTGCTTGGGTTCTTAAAACTAAAGTGAGGGAAACACTAGGTGCTTGTTACTAACTCTTTTTTGAAATATCTGTTATGCGGAATTAATGTAGCAGGCCTACGCGCTACTGTCAGTAGCACTGATCTGACTGAATCTCATAAGATGATCCTTGAGGCCCTTTTAATGAGGTACCTTTATTTCAATTTGCAACGGAGAGAGTAAGCTGAACTAAGGTTGGCATCCCTGGCATTGATGTGGGGAAAAAAATGAGAATTCCTCTTAGTTTTTAGTGCAATATTCTCTTAAAGAATGAGAGAAAATAATTTGAGAGTGACTTTTAAAAATGGGGGGGGGGAAGTGAAAGTGGTGGTGTCCCTTCCCTCACTTTTGGTTCGAGGGAACAAAATCTCTGATAATTAACTCTTGGTCAATCGTACAGTTGAATTAACTTATTAGCATTCGTATATCCTTTCATAGAACTAGAATTAATCCAGATGAGAATCTTAATGTGTACATGTTTAAGTAAGTTAGAGTGCATAATTGCTCTGAATGTTTATAAGAAGTGAGACTCTAAACAAATCATGCCCACTATAATACAATGCACTTGAGAACTCTTGAAAACTCGGTGATAGAAATGACTATTATTGTGTTCTATGCACGAATATAAATGCTCAAACTGTTGTTAAAATGATCTTAAGATCTACGATTGTTTAAAATAAACCACAACACTAATTCCAAAATTCATGTGCTGCTGAGAACAAATTCATGAAGTGTTTTTTAAAAAAGGAAAAAACTTAGTGTTTAAAAAATGCATTTTTTCTTACTAAAAGTGGAATGACAAACAGTCAGTCGCCAAATAAAAGAGGCAGGTTTGTGGGGGATAGCTGGGGAAATCGCCTGATTCCTCTCTAGCTCTTTTAATTAAGGTTCAAGAGACTATCCTGGTGCTAGTGATCGCTGGTGCTTCACAAGAAAATTACAGGTGTACCACTGCACCTATACAATATTGGACTACACAAGAACTAGGAAAACCTCCAAAAAATAAGGTAAATTTGCAGTCCTTGGCAAGGGTAACAACGGACACGTACATTAGACCTAGTTCACGGCATATGGTACAAGAAGTGCAACCTGCACGCATGTACAGTACATGTATTTTGATTCCAATGCAAGAAATGGCAATTATCTCCACCAGCTACTGCACTCCAAAGCCTTATTCAATATCGATTGCACGTTCATTTACAGGCTGCTCTGCGTACATATACACGTAGATTTAAGTATAACATTGCCACTTATTCAATCCCAGATTTCTCAGCAATTCTGCGACAAATTGTCCAGAATTGTGGAAATTCTCTATTTTGCTAGCGCCTTGGGCTCTACTGTTTTCTCATCCTTCAAGCTCTTCCGTTACCTCCTAGGGATATTACCAAGTGTTAAGACATTTACTGATTTCTTTGACACAATTTACTTCCTAATTGAGTTACTCACCCCTTTTCATTCCTTATCCTGCAACTCATTTTACACTTACATCTGTTCTAAAAACTTACATTTTCAAAATAACAACTCCTTTTTAAAACAGGCAAACAAATAGTACTTTTTTTTCAAATGACAAAACACACTTGCAACCTTGTCCCTTCAGAAATTCGGTGTCCACTTCTAGTCTCTAAACTATGGGAGTAGGAAAGGAGAGTCCATGGGACAAGGTTGTATGCATCTGTTATAGACGTTTTACTCTACAGTGTTTTGATATAACGTAATATGTACACACAGTGAGCTAAAACAGAAACTAAGGTGAAAAATGTGTTTGCCTGTAATGAGTATGCACTTAGTAACGCAGCTTTTTGTATTTACAAGAAGCATACGCACAAGTGATAACAACAGGAAGTAATGCTCCACATTCAGAAATTCAGTGCTCAAATTTGCCCTTCACTGTACATTATTTTACAATAACTACCAGGATAAGCTCAATAATTTACCTCAGTTGCCCTGCCCAGGACCACAAACCAAAGATCTTGTGATTTAATGTTAAATTAAATGTCTGTGTACATCAAAGACATTACCTCAGTTTTGTCCAGCATTAAGTACTTGACCTTTCAAATGAGGTACAGGGTTACATGTATATTAACTAAAATGCATCACTGTTGTGACTGGACGATAAATTAACCGCCACCCCCAAAAAAGATCAAGACAACGCATCTTAAAAACGAAACAAGAAATAACGGTTATTAATTACACAATTCAGTCTCCCATACATATACATACACAGGGATGAGGAAGCTCAAGTATAACTGATACGCCAATGACACATGTTCTCTGAAATCATACACTGTACAATCAATACATTTTCTTTCATAGATTACTCTTAAAAATTTATTTCTCAATAACTTTACAGTGTACTGAATGGATTATACTCTGTTATTGTTCAGAGGTGACAGGTGTTTCTTTTCTACAAAACAGCCAAGTTGTTTGCATTTGTTAATAGACATTTCATATTGGTGATACTGCGTTCTCTGTTAAAGAATTTCAATACAGCAAGCCAAATGTACAGAAATGACATATCCATAATCCAGAACATCTGTTACTTTTGTAAGCTTTTTATTCAAAACATTGCAGTGTTTCAATCACTTATTTATCATATACATACAGTCAAGGGTCATATCGACACAGGTTATTTGTCACATATGTATTTCATTTCATTGACAGTTATGTTCACTGACACTTGAACTATGTAAAAATGTGGTAAAAGTGTAAAAGGAAATGAATAAACTTAAGAAACTGCCTTCAAGACAGTAATGGGTACTTTGATTTGTCACTGGACATACAAGTCTTTACAGAGAGCAGCAGAGGAAACTAACTTTAAGAAGTTCACATGTGCACATACCAGAAATGGTAAAACTAGTCAAATAGGAATTTGCATCTGAAATAATTCCAATCCGCCATCTCTTCTAAAATCTCTAAAAATCCTCAAAGCTTCTGAAATTTACTAGCTCAAATTCCTTTTTGAAAGAATGGTCTTTAAAACTCGAAAGTGTGCTCACTGTGTCTCTTTGCTAAATGCACGTAATCCTATGCTTACGCATGGAGACTTCCCACAATAGGACATTCACTGCTGAGTAAAAGCATGCCCTCTTTTGTTCCTTTCGAAGCTGGTTGACTACTATAACTTCTGAATGAAGTTAAGCGCAGGTCTGAATTTCCCAAATTTCCTTTTGCTGTAAAAAAAATTTTAAAAAGTAAAGTTGGAATGACACTTTGAGAATATTTAAGGGTTAAAAAGTCTTGTACGTGTAAGTGGATCATCTTTTGCCAGAGTGCTCGACATGTTTGGGGACGCCACTCCTTCGTAGGCTGGAGACTGGTCTCCTTGTGTCTGCAGCATCTGCTTCTGAGGGTCGAGGAGGATTCTGATGAGAAGGTTCACGCTGAGAATGAGGGGAAGGGGAGGAGTGGTAAGGCGGGGCATGGAGGGCCGACAGGGGGTCCATCTCTTCCTCGTACTCCAGGTCCTGGTCTCCGACGCTCCGGCGATGCTTCAAGTCCAGCTCCTCCTCTTCGTCCGCCTCTGCCTCCTCCCGAGGTGTCTCCTCCTGCCCCTTGTCCCCATCCATCCTGTCATCATCATCGTCATCATCCTCAATGTCTGCGAACATGTCGTCCTCCATGAAGCCATGGCTGTCCCAGTCATCTTCAAAGTCGTTCGCCCGCTCCTGCTGGAGGGCAGACAGGGCAAAGTTGCCCCGCCGCAGCTGTGCAGACATCCTACGCCGAGCAGCTCGGGAAGTTGGCACAAAGAGCATCTCGTCGATGTAGTCCTCGTCCAGTGTTGCAATGTCAGAGTCAGGGCCCTTGGTGTAGCAGCTACTGCCCCCCTCGCTACTTCCGTCTGTTCCTCTTCTGCTGTTTATCCACCCTGGGAATAAGGCAGAGAAAATTCAATACCACATCCAAAAAGTGGCTTTCCGTACCATGAAATTTTGGAAAAGGTTTCTTGCTAAACACAATTAGTTGAGCAGGCAATCTGCTTCACCAATTGTGTGGCTTAATGTATTCTAATGCAACAAAATAATCTGCCATCCATACCTGACATTTCAAATGAAACATCTTCACCCAATAGCCCCATCTTGAAAGCATTATTTGTACCATATGCTGAGGGCAGTTTTTCAGTACCCAACATCAGAGCCAAAACTACAGAGCAATTTACTTCAATGTCAAAATTTCAAAATCTGTTGTGCCTTTGGCAAGGAGCATTTACAGGGCAGCCAGGATTGTTGGGATGGTCTTACTCTTTGCTAAATAAATTGACACAACTTTTAAAATTCTTGTAATGTTCAAGAGAAGTTACAGATCTTGGAAACAATAGTATATTTCTTGGAGGAATTTTAGAGTGGGCTGGAAACGGAGGAAAATGCCACGAGGCACTCAAAGCCATCTTTGCCCTTTACACAACTATCTCAGAAAGTCCTGCATAATTGGTCTTTAGCAATTCTGTAACCACAATGCCAGTATTTCACTTTCAAATATAAGTTTGAAAACAACAAACAGTTTTTTCTTTGAACAACTGATAAAATTATGTCAGAAATAAAAAAAAGTTTAAGCTTCTTCAAAATATTAACAGGTTTTAGAAACAAACAAAAGATTGGACAACTGATAAAATTATGTCAGAAATAAAAAACGTTTTAAGCTTCTACGAAAAATTAACAGGTTTTAGAAACGAACTGAGAGTTAATAGGCAGAACAGAAGAAACATTGGAAACGTTTCCAATAGTCCAAAATACAGACAAGTACGACTGCAGTTTCAGTGCACTGCATTCCTGCTGTTAAAAACATCTCAGTGTGTTTAATAGCTGTGGTGCTGCACTGGGAAAACAGGTGTGCAACAAGTCAACGATTAATAGACCTCTGTAATAATGATGCCACACTTTTTTTTGCCATGTGTGGTTTCCTAGAGAGCCAGTGGGGTCCAATGGTCCACTGACATCCGTAAGAAAGTGCACAGAGCGTGGTGCCATTAGTACAGAGGTCCATCCAACAGCCAGTCTGAAAAGACAGAGAAGGGATAGTACTACTGCTTAGCGTGTAACTTTACAAGCATAAACTCATGCATGCATTGCATGGGTTCAGAGATCTAACACATCTGTTGACCCACCAGAAAGCTTTCCAGGTTTTTTTCTTTAGTTCTAGTGACAAACACTGCTTTAACAATGCTGGTAAATTTTACAAGTCTAAAATTCTGTGCTTGGCACAAGCCATTGTTTTTCCCTTTTAAATATTAGTGCGTCCACGTACATGTAACCTCAGGCTTAAACAATGCAGCTAATGATCATGGTTTGTGCCAAAGTAAGATCATGGAGGATTAAGGAATCTGCCGTAATTTCATGTAGAGTTGTTGTAAAACACAAATCCAGAAGTTCTCACAAATCCCAGTCTCTACATACATAGTGGATGGGGTATGAATAGTGACAACAGAATGCTTTGTTTTCACACTTCATTTGATTATGTACCGGGTAGTACCTTGACATGAGATTAGATGAACAGTGAGAACTTGTAAGGAAATAACAACACTATTTTAATCTTTACCATGTTGGAAAATGCAGCAAATTTTTCAAGCTCAAAATTGGGCTGGAAGCGTTTGAACGAAAAGTTCATGTCACCGTCAAAAAGCCAGCTTACATGTAGAATACACTGGTAACAGGTTTAATAAACAGAGTACGGTACACAGAACTAAAATAGGCATTCAAAACTTATGAAAAACTTACCTTTCAAATTAAATCAAGTTTAATTCCAAATTTAGGTGTGCAACATAAGTTTTGTTTAGCTTGAAAAAAATGCAGGCATAAAGTTCACTTCCCAGAATTCTTTTTCTCAGTCATGAATTATCCCTTTCGTTAATGGGGGATTTTAACTGAGGCCTTATCACAAGCTCAATTAGTAGCTTAGTTGTTAAATGACTTTGTCTAAATCAAAATAAATCCCACAATGCTTTAAATGTGAGTAAAAAATAATTTCAATATTATTGTCACAGTGCAGAGTTCACCTAAAGTCACATCACAGGTTTGGTAAGAAGTACAAAGGGATGAACCCTGACAAAGACTTGCCTTTCCTCCCAATAGACCTCTATCATAGGGTAGCCATCTTACTTTTCTATCATTCAAAGCAATGAGATTTGAAGCTTCTTATGGTAGAAGTTGCAAGTAAACTAGATAGGTTTGCAGCAGCACCATGAATATACCTCTGTTTTGAGTATGTGGGGTTCTGAAAAGCACTGGTGGTACTCAACGTTTTGGACAGTACGCTCTGTCTGTCGTCAGGAGACTGCATGCAGTCTCCTGACAACGGACAGAGCGTACTGTCTCTAGCTGATGACGGACAAGGCATACGGTCTGCAATGTTGAGTACCACCAGTGCTTTTCAGAACCCCACATACTCAAAAAAGAGATATGTCCATGTTGCTACCCCAAACCTATCTAATTTATTCAAAGCAATGTAACCAAACTGAGGCTGGAAGGAAAACTAGTCTGTTGCCTTTTACCAACATGTGAAGTTGTGTTACTCTTGCCAATGGGTCTACGGGGAGCAAGACAAACATGGTAGCATCACGGCAAAGGTCTATTCATTTGCACAGCTTGGGACTTAAGAGAGGATGAGTTGTACTAGTAAATGACCTTTGGGGATTTGAAAACAAGAAGTGGTGAGCCATTTATCCAATATGCCCAGTGCATTAGTAAAGTTGAAAGAACATGCAAATCAATGCATTCACGTCTACTTGGATCTATGAAGCAAAACCTGCGATTTTCTCAAACTGCAAGCTTGGTCACTGAATATAGCTTGACATTAACTTGAATAAAGTTGTGATTGCATTATAACAAGTGGACAGTCAGTAATATGCATGTGTTCCCAACATACACTACAACACAGGTTAGGATGCACATATGAACGTTATGCATGGTGGGTTGAGCTTTTTAGAGGGGGAATAATTTCAAACGGTCGCTGTTGTTTCAAACTATCCCATAAGTCACAAGTGAACTTTGACACCGTAAGAGGTAGGGGAAGGGGTGTTAAACCTTGACATTTGCATCAACCCCCAAAGATCAGTACATGTATACAGTACGTCGACAGGAAGGAGGGCATTGGAAATTTTAGGACTACAGGAAAGCTTTTGCAAGAGGCTTTTATTTCTATGGTAATTTCATTCATTTGATGAAAAAGTGTTATTTCAAATACCCTTTTTTGTCCCTGAACTGCATCCCAGATGTGATCAGCTGCCTTTCTGTTTGACTAGATTCAGTGACTCTTTCAGACTAAATTCAAGGTTATTCCATGCACAAAAAGAAAGACTATTTCAGTAAGCAGAGAGATTACATTTCAGAATGTCACATCGAATGCTGTTTATTTAAGTGAAACAGCATCAAAAACAACAAAAAAGCAAAGAAAATATGTCTATAATTCCTCTTAAATCTCTGAAGTCAGCACCAATGCCGTGCAGTTCTAGTAACATGGCAACAATTCAAAGATTCAGTCTTGTGTTAACAGGAAATCGATGCAAACTTATGCATGGGAAACCCTAATGTGAACTGAAATTCCACTGTGGTATGCAATTCAAAGGGGAAAAGGTTAGATTAAGTTTAAATTCTTCAAGAAAACAAGTTAATCACAGATACATGTCCATTCATCAGCACACGGGCTTGACAAAAGCAACTGTTCAGGCATTTCAAGTTAAGTATTCCCAAAATGGATAAGATCAATGCGATGCCAGCTGTCTGAAACTCAGTATTTGATGGTTAAAATGCCATTCCATTCAAGGAGGCAGCTGTTAAATTTCTTGCCCCCTCCCAAATCTTCTGAGGGCAGTCAGTTTGGCAGTCAGTCAGTCTCACAGCCAACTGCTCAAGCAGCAGTCATGCATCATGCAGTGGAGGCAGCCCATGCAATCACATCATGCGCACAAAAGGAGCTCCACCAAAGGGAACATTTCTTCTGAAGAACCACATCTGGAACTTCCTTCTAGGGAGAGCATGAATCAACTTCCAAACTCAAAGAAACAAAATGAACTGAAATGTCTCACAGGAGCTCTTCCTGCAGCAACTCAACTCATTAAACTCAAACACAAACTACAGCAGACGAACATGGGGCTCATTCTCGTCAGTCGGTGCCATGGCAACATGCAAGATGCAGAATTAGGGAGAAAACAGGAGACGGAAAAGTAGGCCTGGATAAAATCAAGGGATGGGAACAGAAGGAAAGAACTATTGGGAAAAGGTACATGTAACAGATCAGTAAATGACTGAAGTGATCAAACATGGAGTTGTAAACAGTTAGGTAATGGAAGATGTTGAGACAAGGAGGACAACACATGTCACAGGAGGAAACACCGAGGAGATAATGTCAGAGAGAGGATCATGAGAACGAAGATGCAGCAGTATATTACCCAACTACTGAATATGATAATGCTATCTGGACTGGCAGCAAGTGCTGTAATTAAAAAGAAAAGATAGATTTTCCTTTTGCATGTGTCTTGTTGGGAATGAAGAGCAGTCACAGCATCTCTCTCTATGAATATTCACAACTGTCTTGAATGACTCTATGTGATACATTTGGGAGAACTCTTTCTACTCACTAGGAATTTCCAGAAAAACATGAGCCATAATTGTACATTACTTGCTTAGCAAAAACCGTTGCTGGCTAATATGCCACTCAATGTGTATTGCTTTTAAGCAGCTCTGCACCAATTTCTGCTGAGCACGAGAATCGCTGAGCCACGTTATCGCTTAAACAGCTACAAATCAGGTTTCTGGATGGTAACATTGGGCTTACTATGCTGCATCCTCTGGATAAAAGCAACGAAAATAAAGGACAGGACAACACATACCAGATGATAGCAGAATAAACAACTGAAAAAGAAAATTCAAGGTTCTTTTTGAGCAAAGGAAGGACTGGAGTCCCCTGCTGACTCATCTTACATGACAGGGCATCGGACAAGACAAGCCAGGGGTATCCCAGCGTGCACTGGGCCGCAGCGGGCAGACACCATAGATACAATGAGCACCGAGTAACAGCCAAAGCCATGGATGCGTACTGACCCCACAAGGCTACGCCACCACCCTCCTGTGTAGGGGGACGGAAAGATACACAGATACATGTACATATGTAGAGAGGCATGTATAGAGAAGGACAGTTGTGATTTGAGATAAGCTTGGAGGGGGATGGGGGCATGGGTGGCTTTCCAAATCAATGTATCCTGGATTTCTACGATTAAGCTTACACAAACGATGGTGAAATAATCACACGTGGAAATCTTAAGGTTCGCAAAGTCAAGATATTCAATTCTTCCAATTTAACTCATTTTCACTCAAACTGTTAAAAAATCACGCCATAAACAGAGGGTGAAATCTCTCAACTTTCCTGACAAATTTCAAAATCAAGCACTAAAACTGGACACAAAAATGGCTCATTTTTGAACACATGAAAATTTAAACCATGATCCTCTACCAAAACTACGTCTAAGTACCAGCCCAGCAATGAAAGTAGTTACAGGAATACTTTTCCTTCATCAGAGCCACCCATGCATATGTACTTCAAAGGGACTTTCAAGAAAGTCCCAGTGCAAATAGAATGCAAACTGATAACACAGATTAACCGAACGAGTAAAATGCTGTCGGGGCCAAGGCATCGGAAATCTATGCAATCTATTTGCTAACCAAACTTTTCTGCAGGGATATGCCGATGCTACTTTTTTTTCTGCAGTTCAAAATCTACAAAGAGGGAACAGCTACCTATGCAAGTACATATGAATGTAGTTTACTCTCTGCTATTGCCAAGATTGGTTCTATCATTACACTGGGCAACAGGGCAAGCATGGGTACAAAGAGCATATACCTACTATGATCATTACATGCACGTTGCAACTGTGAGAAAAAACAGCGAGGACTTCTTAAAACTAACAAATTTCGTATAAAAAGTGACAGCCAAGAAGGAGCCAATACATTTTTAATGATTTTTTTTAAGGGAAGGTGAATGAACACTGCAAATGATCACACCAATTTTGGAAAGAGAAATGGGTATTGTGACAAAAGTGACAAAATGGCCGACATTTTCACCCTTCTGTTGAGACTACGATTCTAAAGTCTGAATACATACTGTCGTGGGAGAACAATGCTTCATTGGAAAAAAGGAAAATCAAACTTGAGAATTGGAAAGTTGACCATGAAATTACCTTCTGTTTCTTGTGTTCGTCAAATCTGCAGAATGGTAGGCGCAGACAACCATAAAAGAGGGTGGAAGAAGTAAGGTGGGAAAAATTATGGTGAATGCAAATGGACACACTGAAAGGAGACTGCTCCAACAAATAGTCACGTCACTCCAACTGTCCCATATCGGAATACTATACCACTCGTGAAATAAGATAAAAACCATCATAATAATCACTGATCAGATATTAACTGATCAAAAGGTTGACATTGGAGGATTTACAAAGACACCCAGCCGTATTTGTTATAAATACCTAAGCTCACAAGAAAGTCCACAGGTTGGTGGCACCTCCACCCTCAGAGGATGGGCACCAAAAGCATTTCAACATTTCTAGGATGTTTGGTACATGTATGTTAAAAAGGAAACCAGACTAAAGCTTCTTTGTATATCAGCAGTCCAACAAATGAGCCTCATCTGAATTGGGTGATATGTTCTATTGCTTGTTGGAGTGCGTAGGTAGCTACATTGAACATCCCACTTCAGACATAGCCTAAGTCACAATACATGCAGCACGTGCCAGTTTGCAGTTAACCATTTGAAACACTGTCCAATCTCAAGTAAGTTAATTGATTGTAAAGTCTGCATGTCCAAATACCCAAGGTTAATTCTGTTCTCATCCTGGTAAATGCCCATACCATACACATATAGTAGACAGAACACATAAACAACGGGGCTTTTGTTTATTTGTGGTATTCCAGTTTACTAGTGCAGCATATTCATCTGAACAAATTGTAACAAGGCTCTGGCTGGTTGGGGATGGTTATGAGGGATTTATTTAATGACACAGGCTATAAGGCATCCTTTTAAAAATTACGCTTAATATTACACTGTACTGCGGCAGATCTGTTTCGACTTTTCAAGTGCCTCAAAATAAAAAAACACCAAGCAACGCTTAAAAAAAAAACGACAAGGGTAAAAAAATGCAGACTGTGAGGTGCAGGCATTTGTGATGTGCCAAACATCAGGCGAAGACATGAGGATTTGCATACATGCAAACGTGGGAGAAATCTTTCTAAACACACCACTGAAGAAACTAACAAAAGGAGGAACCTGACACAGAGAAACTTTTCAAGAAGAGAAACTTGTCAACACAAACACCATCTACACCAAAAGGTTACGGCAGGTTCAGATTTCAGGCATTGGAAATTCTAGTCAAATTTCATCGTGATACGGCATTTACATGTTTTCATAAATGGGCCCTTCACTTATGACATTCAAATTTTATTTTGAAGTAAGCATTGCATTAAAGCTTTGGTCGTCAACACTTTCAGTCCAAAAAGGGCAGGCTACCGGTATGGGCTAAACACAAACATGGGAGACCTTTTTAGACCACAAGCAACCGAGAATGATCAGAAGAGTACGTGTACGACTTCCAAATTGGGCTGGTTTCAGGACTAGAATGAGATGACTGCATCGGCAGCAAAATCAAACGTTTGGTTTAAGTGGGCAGGCGAAAAACTCCCAGTTGAAGTCAAGTAAAAGGTTTACAATAGCACCATACAAAAATAACTCTGTTGGGAGTATGCGTGGTTTGCTCCGTCCGTTGTCAGGAGACTACCCTGTTCAGGAGCCGGTTTTAATGAAACCCTTTATCGACAAGATGAGCAGAAATTTAAACCAGATAAACTGCTGTTTGACACATCCGAGTCATGATTGGCACTCCATGCTCCCTTTACACATTACAATTTAAATATTAACAATGCATCCTGTGGTTATCCAGCCATGCTAGCTCCCACTCATCAACCATGAAGACCCGCCACACATTTAATCCTCCCACAGGTCTAAATTGTTCACTTGATAATTTGTTCCCAGCTGCATGTAAAATGTACCACATTGATTAGCATGGGGTGTACTCTTTGTGCTCTACAGGATGGGCTTTCTTGAGTGCTGTTCTGTCGGGCTTCAGTGCACGTCATGCATATGCAGCAAGATATGAGATGGAGAGAACCCCCCCTGCTTTGTGTTGGTCATTGTTTCACTGGAATCTGAGGAATTCTGTCAGACATCTAGGGGGGGATGTGTTAGGTAACAATAGTCTAGAGTGTGTACAGCAATTGGACGTGTCGGGGGGGGCGTACACCTGTCTCATATCTTGTAGGATATGTTATGGTGAGCCCACACTAGCTGGCTACCCAGCATGATATGCAGCAGAGGGGGACCCCTCCCCTAAATGTGATGCATAAGCTATACAGGAATATCCTCAGGCTCCCTTGAAACCTGAAAGGGGTTCTAGAAATTTTTTATTTTTTTTTTGCGTTTTTTATTATATTATCCTTTTTCATCATTAAAGGTTACATTTTAATCTATAAACCGACAAACATTTCAAGCAAAATTGGCTTGAGAACACTATTAAACATGCTCTTCTATTTAAATGTGATGGTTCCAATGATTCTGATTGATCTGGAGAATATGTATAAAAAACAAATAATTCAACAAATGTCACGGTCATGTAACCAGAATGAGTCAGATTTCTCTCGTTTCTGAAAATGTCCAAAATATTCTGAAGTTTGAACAATTTGCCTCATTAAGTTCAGGCACAATTGCCAGGTTATCCCTCACCTTCATAATTACTCTTTTTGGTTTATCATTAAATTAAAAAAACATGTTTTGTGTGATTTTAAAGGTTGATGTCCTCCAGTTTTCTTTCTTTGCTGTTTTTCCTGTATCCATTTGTTTCCATGTAACCTTATGTAACCAAGCAGCGCTGTGATACTTGAAAGATATTTGCCTTTAAGAGGGAATAAAATTTGCAAGGACATATTCAATACTTTCACTGTGGTGTGTCAACCACCAACAGTGATACAGTTGCTTGTGTCTGTTTTTTGTGAGTGAATGAAGGTGTCACTGAGTTTATCTTTTTGAGGGAAACAGTGTCACACAGCTTGGGCTTCACTCTCACAGTATTTATGTAGCTACCATGTAACAACGTTTTGCAATGCCGATATAATTTATAATGCTGTTTAAATATGGAATGCATCAATCAAACTCAACACTGTAAGAAAACTTGGAAATCAATTTGGACAAAGTTGCTCAAAACACCAATCCCTCCAGTAATAATACTCTGAGACACAATTCCACAAATACATGTACATATCCGTAGACAAAAAAGTCAAAATGTTATAAGGTTTCATCCAGTGAAAAGAACAGAACAGAAATCAGCAAACCAGAAAAATTAATCACTGAAGTCAATCATTTAATGGTTGCCTACTGGCCCTCACTGGACCTCACGCCTAGCACCGTATGGGGGTTCTACAGTCTAGTCCCTTTTAATAAAATGAGAAAGGCTAGGCCTGTCTTGAAGGTCAGCACAATTCTGTAGCGTCTGAATATTGAATAAGTGTAGTACCCACTAACAAATTTCTCATACTCTGTATCATAAGTGTACATGTGCATCAGGCATGCAAGCGGGGAATACGGCCGTTTCACAATAGTGCGCCAATCACACGTTGGCCAATCACAATGCGCGAAATTTGTCGACCCAGTGCGCGTTTGGAAAGGGTCGACAAATTTTACGCGTTATGATTGGCCAACGCATTGCAAACTCTTGGCGGCGCACTATTGTGAATCGCCCGTATTCAGACAAAAGAAATCTCAAACAAAGCCAGATTTTGTACAGTATTTCTTTTCAGTTTTTAATGGCATGCTTTAGAAGTAAAAAAAAAAAAGGGAAATAAGCTGATCAAAAGAAATGTAACATGCCTGATATGTACACAGCGTGTGCCAGCTCTGTAGCGCCAGGGTAAGACTGAGAGTGCCAGAAGAGACTCTGGGGCCGTGTCCGAAACGGGCTAGGTCTACTGTCTGCGCGTCTCCATGCGTTTCCAATGGAGCAAAGACCTAGACCTAGCCCTAGACAAGAGATTAGGATGCAGCCTGAATCTGAATGTGTTTAATCCAAGATGGTAGCCTACACAGTTTGCACATGGCAAGGTTGCCACATGTACATTCCAAGGTGACCACGAGAGGGCGCTGGACAACAGCATGTACATTACAAAGAATGTACATGCCCAAAAGTGTCAGAGGCTAGTCTGACTTGATGTCTGAGACCGTGTCCGAATCAACTGGCTGCAGCTTGGAATAACACACACATCTATGGAAAGTGGCCGCACAATGGCTACCATAGATGCAAGTGCTATTGCTAGCCACAGCCATAACAGTCAGACATGGCAGTGGGACATTGAGGCAGAGAGGTAACTACATGCACCATTCCATTATTCCCACACCTGAGTAGGCATAAACCTTTAATTTCAAATGGGATAACTACCATCAAAATGAAAGCATATCAGGAGAATGGTTAGCAACAGCCGAAGGTGAAGACAGCCAAAGAGAAGTGAATTAGTATGCACGTGAGGTTCAAGAATTCCTTGGAAAACACTTCAAGTCCTTCTGAATGGAACTACAAAATTATCACCCCTTTATGCATGAACTGCCCCACCCCTACCTACAGTAGGATGGTACATTCAAGCATGTGTCTTGTATTATGAAAATGAGTCCAACATCGTTCAAAGTGTTGCTATGCATAAGGACATATTCAGCAGCGAAAATATCTTGAAAGCAACAAGTTTCTTATGCTGATATTCTGCTTCTTAAACAAATCAATGTCAACTTTTTGTAGGCAAATCATGTATCAAGTCTTCTGAGATGCTTCAAGCAGTCAAGATGTAACTTGGAAACTTGGAGTCAAAAATGCAAAGTTTTCCTTTTTCAAATTTGTTGTCTGCAGTACAGATGCTCAAAATTTTAAGAAAAAGGTGCAAATTTCCATAGATCTGAAGGGTCCACAATGGTCAAGGAAACCGAACAAAAGCTTACATATATATTACTTCATTATTTTTCAATAGAGTCATCAAATCCAGACATCAATTTGTGATGCCCGACTCATTTTCACAGAGCGGGTAACTGGTTAACAAGGCATGCCATCTACAATGGTTGAGAGATGTGAGTTCTACATGAATGCAACACTCAGTGTACATCAAAGCACTCTGCAGACATTAAAGGCTCAGATTGATTCTTACAGGGAAAGATTGAACAATAGCACCAAGCTAATATACATACATTTAACTACATGTACACGTACCCATGACAAATATATTTACTATAATGCTAAATCCAAGAGAGCAATGTAAAACAAACAACACATCTTCATTGACTTTTGAACCACACGTCGCAATGCGCAAACCTCCCTACGCTTTTTGCGCATTTCTTTCTTTGATTTACACGTGCAAGAGTGAAAGTACAACTCTTGAGCCATTCTAGACTCATGCTCAATTTTAATATCAGAAATCAAAGTGGCAAAACACTACTTGTGATTTTCGGGCAAAAAATATTAAACACGTTCATTTGAAAGCAGCAGAAAAACAAAAAAAACACAGATTCATCAGAAACTGTGGTCCACATAGTTCAAATCTTAGACTATCCTCGCCAACAGCAGAGTAGGCAGAGGTAGATGTTGTGACTTGAATTAACCACCGTTTCTCACATTATCCTCCACGGATTTTGATCCATGTCCTAAATTGGACTTGATGCAATATTTTGTCACTTGATATTTTTCATACCAACATATCCTTCATCCTCTGAGATATTTAACAGAAAGATTTGTAGGAAGCTTAATTAAAGCAAAGAGTGTCAAAGCCCCCCCAAAACACCCGGGGGAGAATCCAGCAAACACATTTGGGGCTTGATGAAGAAATACAAGGCAGAATTCAAACCCTTCAACCACTGAACACAATAGCAGCACTCTATCAAGTGATCAAACAATATTTTAATGACATTTAGGAATATGTTTGGAATTTCTGAAAAAAAATGAGATGATTATCAAAATGCCTTTGCACTGCCAAGTGGAAAATGGATCCAAGGAAGCCTGTGCACTAACCTTCTGACCTCATCTGGCACATAAATGTACTCCATGCTGACCAGATTGGATAATTCATCCAGGGTTTCCACAAACTTCAGTTTTCGGCTGAACTTAGAACTGGTGAAAGCGAATGTTAAAAATATTTGAAAATACAATTTTCATTGCATGCAAAGCCCAAAACCAACTAAAATTTAACCAAAACCCAACCCAAAGCCAAACCAAAGTCATACCTAAAACCCAACCCAACCCAAACCAACCCAACCAAAACCAAATCAACCCAACCCAACGAAAACTAAACCAACCCAACCCAAAACCCAAACCAACCCAGAACAGAACCCAACCCAACCCAAAACAACCCAAAACCCAAACCAACCCAAAACTCAAGCCATCCAAACCAAATCCAACCCAAAACCCAAGCCAACCCAACCAAAACCACAAACAGGAAAAAAAATGCTAAAAATGCAAACTCATGATACATGGTTCACCAACCTTATGAATGGCCTTGTGAATCGTATGATGGTCCTCAGCCATGTCGTAGGATGGACAATGTACAAGCCCTTTAGGTTTTTGCGAAGTCTGGAGACAAAAGGCATGACAATCAGTGAAAACTTAGGCCAGCTTGCTGTTCTGTAATATACTGTTTGACCACATTTAGCTCTGGACAAGCTGGCAAAGGCTTCAAGAGCGGCCGCACTACCCTCTCTGGTCTTTGAAACTTAACAAAGGGGAACATGAAATTATCAGATTAAAGGCCCCTCTGTCAGGGTTGTCAAACTCTCTGCCCAGTCATACACCTGGCTCTCTGAAGGAACCCCCTGTATGACTATCATGGTACATGTAATCACGCCTCAGCACATACATCTACCACAGTGGGTTGGCTGAGGTATCTTGCAATGATGTTGAGACACAGACATCTTTCCATAGTTGAACGGTTTCAGGATGTTTACATTTACATACCATCAGAATGACAATCTATTTCTAATGTTTATCTTTGGCCAAACACTGAAGTTGAAAAGCCAGTTCACAGATGACTTTGCAAATTCACAGAATTGCCCAATATATTACTTCTTCAATCCAGCTGTGCTCAGAGTTCAAGAGCTCAAGAATTGAGAGTTCAAGTGGGGTAGAAACTGGGAATCAGCTGGGGTGAAAACGTGCAGAAATACACGTATTCTCCAGTTACCGATCACTGCTCAAAATTACAGACTGCCGGCTTACTTTCTGTCGATCATCTGATAGCATTTCCTCATCCAGTTCAGGCTGGGGATGCGATTCTTGGGAGCTGCACCGTGGAAGTATACAATCATGTACTCGTTGGCTACCAGCAGTTCTAAAGTGCTAATGACGTATCTGGGATGCACAGTCACAAACATGCATGTTGGAGTCTGAGATATGGTCTCAAATCAGTTTGAAGCATTACTGCTAATGTGCTCGTTGAGAAGTGAGAAGTTAAGAAAAAAAGAGGACTTTTTTCTTCTTTTCTTAGTGCAAAATTGCAAAAATCTCACTGGTTCAAAACCATCAGCAATTAAAACAATACATTTACTTCAGGTGATGGCTGAAACTGTAGCTCATTTATTTAAGTGGCAAGGACATCTGAACTGTTTACACATATAGCAGAATATTGTGAGCTGGACTTTTGTTCAACAGCTTGGGGTTTTTTTATCTTCAAGGCATCTGGACATATTGATCATACATTACAAATAGAGGGTTAACATGGTCAACAACACGTGAAAACATGCATTCCACTGTCACTGATCAAATAGTTCTGTTTAAGAGCCTTTATTGACGAAAATGGATCAACTCAAAACTGTGAACTCTGACCAAAATGTGGCAAGAAAAATAACCCGGGTGATGGAGCCAGTGATGCATCACCCGGCTCAAATTGCACAAGAAAGAGTGTATCCCAATGGCCAGAAATTCCTGGAATTCTGATCTCTGCTATCACTCCCAACAAATCTGATTAGCAACTTACAGGAAGAGGTTGTTCATGATGTAGTTGTAATCTTTGCGAGACCTGTCTGGCATGTAGCAGGATGCCAATACAATAATGGCATTCACTCCATCACCATAGTAACCTGTCCAAAGAAAACAGGAAAATGCGCCACAATAAATAGTAACAATGTTGGTTTATGACTCAAAGGAAAAAAAAAAATCTCAGAACCAAGAAACTGCCTCACAAACCAGACAATGATTGGCAATACTGTTTCCCTTTCAAATGATCAGTGAGACCAATTTTGATTATACTCGTGTGAGAAAGCAAATGCAAATGTTGGAAAAAACTTCTATCAGTTTGGACGGATTTAAAAGGACTTGTGCTTGGCTTTGAACATAGTGTAAATGACCATAAAAACAAACTCTGCTTATGGGTGTGTATAATGGGTGCCTTTAGACATACACCAAATTTTGGAGCAATGTGTTCATGGCCAACCAGAATCTGGAGTTCTCCTCAGCTAAGCTGTGCCACGATTCCAAAAGGAGCTGACTCAATTAAAAGTCAAGTGCCTTCCAGCAGGACACATTTGAAGGAATCACATCTACCTACCTCCGTGAGAGAGCACCTTCTTGTAGGGATTGATGGCTCTCATGTCCAGGGTGAACTCCTTGTTGGCGATGACCACCTTGCGCCAGTTTCGTCGGTCCTCCATCTCCTCTTGGGCGGTGTACTCGGGAATGGGCTCCACCCCCGGGGACTGCAAGGTGTCATCTGGTAAGAAAAAAAATTAAAGGAATAAATAAAGCAAAATAAAATAAAGAAAAGACTTGGGCAAGATTCAAAGATCCCGCTTATTTCCTTTGCGACCACCAATGACTCAATACTGAATTGGGACAAGTTCTTTATACACAAAACGGGAACGGATGAAGCTTCCACACAGAGAAAAACAAAACGTGAAATTATACATTAACTTTAGAAAACGGTAGAAACAAGTACTACCAGAAGAACAGAAGGACATCAACAACAATGACCAGATATGTTAACAGAAACAGAAAACCGATTAGAAAAGAACAGCAAGTAACATGCTAACTTGAGCAGGGAGAAAAACAAACAATTTTAGTGAAACAGACAGATAATATTGGAAAGTTACAGAAAAGAGAAATGACCATCAATGAATACAACCCCATCATGATGGTTGAAAGCCGGAATCAATTAGAAAAAATACACGGGATGTTAGGATTAATGTCTGGGTGTAAACAGAAGTGGACTTGAAAGTGATAGGGTGGGATGTCAGGATTAATGTCTGGGTGTAAACAGACAGAATTGAAAGTGATAGGGTGGGATGTCAGGATTAATGTCTGGGTGCTCCTGATTGAACAGGAACAAAGAAAATCAAACAAGACCAAAGAAAACCCTACATAAACTTAAGGGGATTACAAAGAGACAACGGGCTCAACACATAACTTGGCCCTTGACTAAGACTGTAGAACACCCCTCTTCACAGTTTTCATAGGTGACACTGGAGTTCCATTTTTGACTAATGCACATGGCTCAGATGATAATTTTTGCAGCGAGTGCGCAAAATCAATTCAAAATCAGTGAAATTCTGTCCCTTTTGCATGTGTGAACTGGTCATGCAAGACATTCTTCCATTGTTTTAATTAATGGGTAAGCCACATGTCATCAACAGTATCAACAGTTGTTTTCTTTTCACCGACTTGATACAGGAGTGCTAATAGGTGTCTTCAGGGGGATTACTGCAGGTGTAAGTGGATGTACATTACACAATGGGTATCACAGAAAGGATAAAGAATGGAGACATCATGAGTGCAATGCACAAAATGTGCGTGACAAGAATGGTACAGAACAGATTGAGACAGAACAGATCAGGTCAGAACAGGATAGAGGCAAGGTACACCAGACACACACCGTAGCAGAACAAAATCCATTTGCGACAGATCACGCACAAAACAGGACCATAACAAAAATAAATCCCACTTCATAGAAACTGACAGACAGAACAAACCAAAGGAAAAAAAAAAGAACAATGTCTGAGCAACTAATCCGTAAGATGTTAAACAGGAATGCTGAATGTTGATTAGTCTGATGGCGGTTAGTCTGCTACCAGCGTGACGCGAGAGGATGGAGTGTGGACAGCGGGCGGTATCGTCCAAAGCTTACCGTCCCAGGACATCTCGGCACTGCTGGGTGTGAGGATGGCAGGCGTCGAGGGGACACTCGTGGCATCCCCTTCCATGCTCAGGGACAACCCCGCAGGGATGGGGACCACCTTCTTGGGACTGTTACTCCAGCTTCGCTGGTCACGGCCCTCGGCTAAGAGTTGAAGTTTTCGATTTGTGAATTTTTCAGCATGCAAAGGGAGGGTGATGTGGAAACCATATTTTTTTTTGGCAACTAGAAATGCAAACGAGCAAGCGACTGCAGTAATTTGTGGGTCACTTTTCATTGGTAACAAGAGCTGTGTGAAGTTTAAACCGATGGCTGATGACGCTATAAAAAAGTTTCACCCAGAGATCACCCAATCCAGAGGATAGTCTACACAGTGTCCAGTATTTCATTTCTGAGACAAACTCTGAAAAGTCAACACGGTATTTCTTCATTGGAGGAAACCAAGCAAAACAAGTACGCACTTCCATGGCCTAATTGATGTAAACTGTGAACCTTGAAAATCTGCTGTGGGATTAGAAGGCACCAACTATATACCCTGACCGTTGAGGAAAAAGCAAGGAATCTGAGCAGAAAAAAGGGAGATAGCTATCATAAAGCTTGAGTGAGATCTGCCAAGCCATCGGCTGGGCAGTTGCATGCTGCGTGTAGGGACTAAATTATTGCCTTTCAAACTATCGCTTTAAGTTTTGCCGAACCTTACTTTGAAACAGAGCACTTTCTAAACGGTATTCTCCATTCGCAGGGATGAACAAATGTGGACTGAGGTAAAAACATTGGAATTTAGTTGGTAAAGTGCTACTGACACCTGGTTCTGAAGTGACCTAGCAAATCATCCTAGATTTCTTCATAATCTGAGACTTTTCTCATTTCAAGAGGAAAAAAATGCTGTTTATCTTTCAGTTTCACAGTAAGGCCCATGAGATTTGTGTACAAGTTAATACCATGTACACTGTACAGACTACACCTCTGTAGCACCCAACTGCTGCTTTCACTACTGTTTAAGCCTTGTGAGATCTTTGCGCTACCTGGCAACGGAGACTCATCCATGTCCTCTTCGTCAAAGTCGTCGTCCCCAGCCAGCCTCTCTGCCCAAGCACTCATGCCTTCCACTGAGCCATCGTCAGACAGCATGCTGTGTCGGGTCCCAAGCTTGCTATCCTGTAAATCAAGGTCATCTGGCATCATCTCAACATTTGCATGACAAGCACGCAGGAAGGACAAAACATTACTGTGCTTTCCTTCTGTTTTGCCCAGAATCTGCATGCAGAGATCACTTTCAAAACTCTGTTTGGGAAACTCAAACCCTTAAAAAACTTGACAAACTACAAAAGAACTTCAAATGTTTGTATTTACAGTACTAACCTTTGTTGAAATCAAGTAATGGCTGTTTCTATCTGTTGAAAGGCACAGTTTAGTATGTAGTGGTGTTCATTTATGGCTGGGGTAGTTTGGGAACCGGGTACCCAATTCCCATTACAGGCAGGTACCCACATACCCAATTCCCATAACAGACGATTGCCTGGGTACCCATAATTATTGTTGAGATCAGAGCAAAATGCAGAAGTAAAGTTTATCCAGGCCGTCAACGTCCACATGTTACTACGGTATTAAAAAACTGCATCTCTTCCCGTAAGTCTCACAATAATGTAAACATCTCCAACGTAGACTACGCGGAATTGTTGGTACACGGTCTCAAAAGATGTTTTATTCAGATTTTTTTCAAATAGTTTTCTGGCAAGTATCAATAGAAAAGGGTGCAAGCCTTTCTAAACTGATGGACCAAAATTTCCCCAAAGTAGTTTCGGGTAGTAAGTTCGACAAAATGGAATCAGGTTTCTGTATTCAACAGTCAGGTTTTGGGTACAAAGTACTCATCACAGCCCTACTGGTAATCCATATCAATCTTTGCACTCAGCCCTTATAGTCCCTGCAACTGACTAAAACAGCCCTGTATTTTACTCCCAGTACCACCTTAAACTACCCTAGCACTCCATGAGTTTAGAGACTCATCACAGAAAGCATACAATATAATGCAAGTGGTAATGCATTAAATTCTCTTATACCACTGTCGTAGAAGTGGATCACAAACAAATGACAAGGCATTTGCACTTACTCTACCTTCTAAATCATATCCAAGTAAAGGCTTCATCATGCATAACCATGGGAATCAGCCCCATGAACAAGCTTCCCACAAGCCTGTCAGAGCATGTGTTTTATGGTACCTTTAAACTGTAACTGTCTCGCACCATCACACTAGGTAAGAATCAAATACTGCAGCCGATTATCCTGCTCTCCCAAGGATATTACTCATTTTTGATCACATTAAGGCTAAGGGCTTCATCAATTACAACAACACACAAAGAACCCACGAACAAGCTTCACAAAATCATGCCAGTGCATGTACATGTACTTTGTTTAATTTACCTTGGGTGGCACCCTCCTTTTGAAGAATGAATCCTCCTCTTGCTGGCTGTCCACGCCCGCCAGCTTCTGTTGGGCAAACTCGTCGTCTTGCCACTCGTCCGGCAACTCCACCCCCTCCATGTTCTTCTTGGCTTGTGCCGTGGCCACAGACATTGTCCGCTGGGGGGACTTCCTCTCTTGGTTCTCGATGAGAGATTTCTAGAAGGTCAAGGAAGTTTGACAAAGCACCACGAGTAAACCAATGCTGAGTCAGCTGAGGTTACTTCCTGCACATTGCAATGCATGTCAATCATTTCCTGAAAGATGCAATCTTTTGTTTTTCATGGATTTGTAAAAGATAATATAAAACAGCTGCTGAAAACTGCTGACTGTAGAGATCTTAAACTGTAACAGCTACATGAATGTGAAGAAATGACATTGTTTCAGAAATTTGGAAAACTGAATGAAACATGATTGAAATTGCACTCTTTGATTAGGTATTGCAAGTCTGTCTTTAAGTTTAGTCATTTCAGTAATTCTTTCCAATAAAGCATACACACCACACAGACGTAGTGAATGATTGCATTTTAAATTTGAAATTCTTCTGGGTGCAACTCAAATTTATATAAAATATATGGAATATAATATAAGGAATATGCGTTCACTTACTGTTCGTTCTTTTTCAACGATCACCTCCATCAACTTCTTGCTGTCATCCCATTCCCCATGGATGTCTTGCACCACATCAGCATCGATGGACAAGCACCTCTTGGCAGGAGGAGGAGACATCCTTTCAGATGGTTTCCCAGTCTCCGCCTCTCCCTCCTCCATCCTGTCCAACGTGTCTTCGTCGGTCCCTGTATCGGATGTCAACATATCGAGGCTTCTCAAGCTGATTGGTGTCAAGGGCGTGCCCGTGTCCGACAGCATTGAAATGGGTGTCCCGGAGGAGAGCAGCCGGGCCGATTTAGGCGTTGACTTGGTTGTCAGAGGCAGGGTTGAGGGCCTGATGTGCGGGTCTGCTGTGGAGCTCTCTACCTTACCATCAGGGTTGACATACTCCAGGATGTCAGCCAGTCCAAACACGGAGGTCTGCTGGTTGTCGCTCTCGATTTCTATGTCCACGTCCTTCATGGAGTCTTCGACTGTCAGCTTTGTTTTGCCTGTGGTTGACTGGCTGGTCACCTCCTCAGAATTACTGCTGATGTCTTGGAGTCCCTGTTTACTTATGACAACATTGACTTCAATTGGGGACTGAGGGGCTTCTTCAATCTCATCCTTTGGCTCCATGTCTGCAGTGATGGACAAACTGAGAGGATGCTTCTCTTCCAACTGCTGTACAGATTCTTGTGACTCCTGATCTGCTTCATGGGGGACCCCCTGCTCAGTTGGCATTTCTGATCTAGCAATCAGTTCCTCCTCAAGAGGGCTATCAGCTTGTGGAAGAACATTCTGGTCAGTTGGTAGGCCTTCTCCTTCCTCAGCAGATGGATGCTCCTGTAAAGGTAGCTCTTTGTTAACTTTCATCTGGGATTCTTCTTGAGATACCATGACCTGTGGTATCTCTTCCTCAACTGGAAACTGAGGTGGCTCCACTGAAACCTCTTTGGGAGCTTCAGGACCCAACACATTTTGGCCTTTGCCAAGGGATTCCAAATGGTCTTCTGTCCCATCAGTAAGGCCTTCTGCCCTAGCTTCCACACTGACTGAGACTTCAGATGACGGCAAAGCAGATTCTTGCTCTGTTGCTTCTGAACTCTGGATTACATCTTCCACTTCAGCGGCACTGACCAGCTGCTCATCAGGAGCCTCTGCATGAATCTCTCCTGGACTTTTCAGAGTCTCTTGTTGTTTTTCTTCCAAGAATGCAAACTTTGCCATCTTGATGGCAGCTTGTACTAAGTCATGGGCTTCCTCTTGCAGAAGACCACTGTCTGCTCCTTCAAGTGCATTTTGTGGACTGCTTCTTCCTGAACTGGCAAAACCAACATCAGTTGGAATAGGAATTGTGTCCATCACTCCTCTGTCAGTGGTTGTCTCTTCTGCGTAATAGTTGTCAATGACACCCACTTGTCCCTCACCAGAGAAGTCTTCTGGGGCAGTCAAGCTTGGAATGCCATTTACTTGCTTTTCAAGAACTTCAACTTCACCTACTGGAGCACCTGCTCCCATATCTCCTTTTGACTCTCCCAGTTGATTTTCTTCCTCCTCAACCTCCTCTTGAATGTCACCTATCTGAAAGTTGCTGACTTCATGCGACAGGTCTGTCACTACATACGAGTCTCCACTGGATGGGTCCTCAGAAATTGCGTCCGAGGTGAACTCACTGTCCGGGCTTGTAATTCCACTGGAGCGAGCAGGGCCCTCATCAGATACGGGAGAAAAGTTCTGTTCCAGGGATGCAGCAGCTCCCACGGATAAGTCAAGAGGGAGGACATCAGGCGTCGTGGAACTTTCTGGAGCAGAGGCCTTGTCCATCACATCTGGAACAGACTCCAGAAGGTCTGTTGACACTGGTATTAATATTTCTTCCTCCTTCTCCACTTCTGGATGTGGTGCATGTGCATGTACTTCTGTTTCAAACTCTTTATTAGATTGATAGTCTAAAACTGTTGATCTCTCTTCTGAAAGACTGATATCACCTTCTCCACCTTCTTCCTTCTCTTGGAAATCGTCTCCAGCATCATCAACTCTGTTCACTGTGAGTCTGTCATTTTCCTGCACATTTTGTACAACAGGGCTTTCTGGGGACAAGATCTCATCCACTGAGCCAGGAACCAATTCCATTTGATCAACTGTTTGGGAAGACACTATTTCCTCCTCTTTTGCAGTGTCAAACTGAAGTAGAGATGCTTGTAAAATTGAAGCATCTGCGATTAATGTTTCAGAAACTGCACTTTTGGCAAATGAATCATGACTTTCTTCACTTTCTTGTACCTCCTGGGCACTGTCAGCCACAACCTCAACTTTTTCTTCACCAGGTTCATCTTGAATGGCTCCTGAAAGTTCCTCCGTGTCTTTCAATTCTTCAACCTGATAATTATGTGACTGATCAACTTCTAGGTGCATGTCTTGCACTGTCGATTCAGCACTTACTTCAAATGATGTTTCTACCACATCTGAACCCACCTTGTGAGGGCCTTCCATCTCATCCTCATCAAAGGTTACTGAGGGCTCTTCTTGGTCTTCCTCAACCCATAAGCTTTGCTGTACTTCTTCTGCTGTCATTGCTGCCATGCTGTCTTTAGGAGATCCTGACTCAACAAGAGATTCTTTTTCATCAAGGAACTCTGGTGGTGGGTTGTCTACTTGTTCTTGGTCCGGTGTAACAGAGACCGAAATACTCTCAGCAGATGGCACATCTTCCGGTGAGCTACCTGCAGACATCTCATTTAGATCTGCCTCTGCAAGATCTGTTTTCTTTAGCTCAGAGGGGAATTCATCCTCTGATTCTTCTGATGCAGCTCTTTGACCATCTCCTACAATGCCATCAATTATTTTGGTGCCAAGATCAAACTTTGGAGAAATCCCTTCCTCCAGCTCATTTCTCTGATCACCTTTATCCAATTCCACCTTTTCTGTTTTGTGGAGTCCTTCATATTCTGATGGCTCTTCACCAAACTGCTGGTCTTGTGCCTCAGTTGCTACCACCTCATTATTTACATCTTGGTTTTCATCAGATGGAGAGTCATCTGAAACCTGCTCCTCTTTTTTGTCAAGGATTGCATCTTCTGTTTCAGAGGTCTCCTGGTCAATGTCTGAACTTTGAGAAATTGTTATATCTGGAGCTGGGTGAAGAAGCTCTTGAGCTTGGCTGTCACATTGGTCAGTTTGAATGTCACTATGATAAAAGACATTGGAGCTTGCTCCCTCCATAATCATGGAGGCTGGAGGTTCATCTAACACTCCAGAAGAACCAGAGTGGAGATCAGACTCAAGTAAATTTGATGGCTTTTCTGCAACACCAGAACCTGGACTTCCAGGATGATAGTCTGTGACAGCACTGAAGCTCCTTGCAGATGACTCGACTGTTGTACTAGTTGAAGTTTCTGTTGACGGTTCAGTTAATTTAAATGGATTAGCACTTTCTGCTGTAAAACTATCCGAGGACTGATCTGTGAACTCACTTGGAGATGTAACAGCACGTATCCCGAAGGGATTGTCATTTATTGTACCTTGGACGCCATCAGAGCTATCCACTGCAACTTCCATGTGAATGTCTGAAGAGGGATCTGACAGTTGTTGATCCACTGCATCAGGACTTCCTGGGAGCTGATTCATGAAGTCTCCCAGATCAGTCTCAGAACTCTCAAGAGTTGTTGAAACAGAGGTCTGGACAGTGGAATCTGTGACTGCGAAGGGATTACCAACTGCAATGTCTGTAGCACCAGGTGCCTCAGACACTGATGACGAAAAGAGATCTAAGCCGAGCAGGTCACCACTGCTTGATTCTCTAGCATCTGCAAAAGGATTATTCGATGAGGCAGAGACGGTCGATTCAAGGACAGCTGCTTCTGAATCTGGAACAGCATCAAAGCTGAAGAGGTCATTTGAGGTGTTGCTCACAGATGAACTGTCAAGTGGGACTACTGGCTGTGACATAAAAGCCTCTAGACCTGTATCATCTCCTGTTGCAGAAGCTGCAAATGGATTGGAAGGGGGATTAACAATGCCAAGATCCTCAGTTGCAGACTGCTGAGCCGATCCAAAATTGTCTAATCCAAGGAGGTCCTCTGATTCACTCCCAAATCCCATCACATCGCTGCTGGGACTGGAGGGCGTGATGCCAAGGGTATCCATACTGTCCCTTGAGGAAAATGCCCCACTTAATGAGGTCCCTGCTGCATCCTGATTTCCAGAGAAGGGGTCTAAATCTAGGAGTACTGATCCGGCATCGATGCCGCTGGAATCGGGCGAGCTTATCACTTGGCTATCCCCAATCCCAAATGGGTCATCAGATGAGACTTGCTCATTGGCATTATTGGCGTTGTTGGCTTTGGTGGACAGCTTCAGTAAGGTGTCGTTCATGTCAGTCAGGTCCAATTCTGTTGCCACTCCCTCCTCTGTTTCTTGTTCTTCATCCAGAGAGGAATCCTCCTGACTGCTAAGAAAGTCTTTCACAAGGGGGAGAACCCGCTTCCTGGAGGCCTTGACATTGGCCTGGTTGTAAACAACCAATCCTGAGGCATTTGTAGCCAACTCTGAGAGACTCAGCTCAGGTGATGTTGATTCTTCCAGTGTCTGGATCAATTCATCTTTCATTGAGTCCGAGGAATTGGGGGAGTAAACACAGATTTGCCTGTGTGCTTTGCCATCGTCTGAGACAGTCAGAGCCATGAGGACAAGAAGCCGCAGGTTTTTCAAGGAGCAAAAATCTTGAAATCCTGTCTCAATGTCGGGCTTGTCCACAAATTCCTGAAAATACACATTCAGATACAATTTCAAGTTATACTTAAAAGAGTTTGGAAGACCAAAGAGTTCAAAGGAATAAGGCTTTGGCTTCAGTTACACTATGAATGTGGCTTCTTGTTAAATGTACTGCCAGAAACATTAAACGGCCAAGTACATGTACCGGTACATGGGAAATAATATGATACATGTACGTGTATATAATGGCACATTGTAAGGGACACAAATACGAACTGCAGAAATACTGGTACAGGTATAATTAGTACATGTGTACCAGTGAAATGTGTACCAATGAAATGTATAGCACTGATGTTAACCATGTTTAAACAATCTTAGCACACTTCAACCTCGAACAGAACTCTATGCTACAACACAAGGCAGTGTACCATAATTGCCCTTTAAATAAAGGAAAATAAAAATACCACAGGGTACAAGCTGACGGACCAACATACAGTGTAAATGTAAATTTCTAAAGCTGCATGTTCATGTGTTCAGTAACAGAATGCATTTCTAAGTGCCATAAAGTTTGCACTTTTTATCACATGCTGGGCCAAACAGAAGCCGTAGATGGATGATAAATGGTCTAGATTACATAGCTCAGCATAGCAAGTCATGATGTTATCTGAACAGCTTTCTACAGTCACTGGCACCATGAGATAATGTATGCCTAAGCTGCCTTAAAGATAAAACAGGTTTACAAACATAAACACTTACACTTACGTGTAGTATGGAAATCCCCCGTTATGGCAAGAACATTAGCCATTTTTTGTTTCTGTTCAATGTCACAGGCTACATGTACTATACCGGTATCACTCTATACAGTGCCATAAACAAGTTGAATGACATTTGATGGAATGAAAAGCTTAATTATACGTTGTTCAATTTTTGAAGAATAAAATTGCGTGAAAGATACAAAACTGAGAATTACTAAGAAAAATGAAACTTTCAAAAATCAATGTCTTGAAAAAAAAAAGTTATGGTAGTTTGCATCACACTATGCAAAAGAACAATGAATTTGTCTTTAACTTCAACCCGGAGGGCATGAAAGGTGGCTGAAAAATTGCATTGAATTGGAGAATAAAGTTAGAATAAACGATAGCCACTCACTGTGAGATGCATGAGTATTGAACTCATCCCAATACTCATGGAAGAACCAGAGACACATTTGAAATCCTTCCTCAGAATGTCTGTGACTGAGAAATCTGGTGAGGGTAAGCAGAATAGTCTCAACATGAAACTAAGAGATGGAATGGTCCGTACCTGACAATGAAATCCTGACTGATTTCCAAAGCCGGTTAAAAATGAGAGAACGCCGGTTAAAAATGAGAGAACGGAAGGTGGGGTACTAGACTGAGAGTGGAAAACCTCACCATCATGTTTATTGGAGACTGGAGATTCAAGGACACTGGTGAAATTTAAGTCTACATGTACATGGGAAACAGGTACAGGTGTGCTTCACTGAAGCTGAATTAGACAGTAGATCTCATGATCAGGAGTCATGATGTCTATACCTTCTCCATGCACCTAATGTACATGTACATGTATGCTGACACATGTACATAGATAAATAACTGACTGGAATTCCGTCTGATTAAAATGCGCATAAACAACAACGTACACACGTACATGAACATGTACCAGGGCTGTGTCCAGGTGTACATGTACATGTATGCACATTTTACGGCTGTTCAATACATTTGATATCCACCAATAAAAATGGACACAATTTCTTTGCATAGAAAATGGTCTTCTTTGTCGGGTTTTACACTATGCCAAAGCAAGGCAAGGTTAATTCTTACGCATAACAGCAGAGTTACATGTACATGTGACGCCTGAATTTTGAAGAACACAATCTTAAGAAAGAGTGCGCTGCAAAAGCTGAATACCAGTACATGTATTCCTTATGATAAACAAGAACTGTTCTTTAACTGGCCCAGTCATACATGTACATGTATATTCAGCTATGAGGAAATGACTGAAACATCTACAGCAAACCTGGAATGTTCAAAGGAAGCTTACTAGTACATGTACATGGACACACTGTTCGATGAATATAAAGGCTGGCAAACATGTTATGTCCGTGTATACGTAGAGTACCTGACATGTCTGCTTTCGCCTCCTGCAGTTCCTGATACATCTCTTCCTTGTTGAGGTCCGGACAGATCTCCGACAATGCCTCAACCATGGCAATGTCCTTAGTTGTAGCCTTGCAGGCTGAAGCAGAGAGGTTGACAGTGTCGACCAGAATAGGACCTGTTTGGATAAAAAAAAAAAATATGCAATTAACTAGCCCTAACAGTCCTGAATCCTCCAATATTAATATGATTTTGCACACACCCTAGGGAGTTAGGGTTAAGGTGTACAATGTACATGCTATAACAAGAGTCATGGGTTTGTTCTGTCACTGGTAATAACATAACACAGACATGTACACCCACCCTTATATATGTATACTTGTGGGGTATTTCCTTTGTTCTCGTGTACAAAACTCCCACACAACAAAGAAAAAAATTTCAAATCACTGCCATTTCAACCAAATTCAGTTTCCTGGGTTGAAATTTCGACCGTACATGTACTGTATGTCCCTTATATAAAACACTTCAATTTGCGACTGATGAATCTCACTTGAAAATTCCTCCTTTTTGAGTAAATTTGAAATATCTATTTCGTGAAATTTCAGTGGGGTACCACTTTAGTACCCCACAAGGATCAAAACTGGCCTTGTGGGGTACCTTCCATTGTTCGGGTACCCCACAAGGCACCATGTACAAGCGCACGTACAAGTACATGTGTGGTGTATATGTACATGTATGTATCTGGTTCGTAAGTGACTTCATCACAAAGGCAGACGCGCCACGATTTGCAGGCTCCCATTGAGACGATAGCTGAAGTTGCGCGTTAACTTCCGGTTCCGTGTAAACGGCAATCAGTGCATATAACTCTATGTGCAGTGCATGTGCAGTGGGCGTGGTTTAAACTGAAGTGACATCACGCTTACGAACCGGATAGGGTAGAGCGTGAAAATAATAACATCCTTGGAAAATGTAAACAATTACTGGTACAAATTCAGCCTCTGATTATCAAACAAAAACAGTGCATTAAGTACATGTGCACATAAACTGCTGTATAATAGTCAATCCCAAAAACCATTAATAATCCTCTTACATGCACTCCTGTCATTCTTGCAAAGAAGCAAGTGAATCAAAGGAATAAAATTGGTACATGTTGATGAAATAAGAGGATCAGCATTCTCACCCCAAATGCTACGTCTGGTTTTGCAGTAATCTAACTAAGTCACGGTGTACATGTACTATTATCTACCTGCATGGCAGGTCTCAACAGTTTGATGTCCCCATTTTGTTCCACTGGATTTGTGTGGAGTGTTGATTACTGCTTTCAGGAAGCAATCCTTACAGAATGCCCAAGGATCACGACCATAACAATCATGATTAATTGGATGACACTCAAAAGCAATGAAACTGACATCAGAACTTTCCAACAATCTGGCAGTGTACAAATAAACCGGATACAGTGTGTAAAATGTCCATGTTACATGTACCTGTACTGTCATGTACATGTATGCTGCACATGTATGCAATGTATGCTATTTTTACATGTCGAGCATATACATGTATGTACTTGTACTCCATGTATAAAAATAAATAAACCCACTTCCCTTGTACATGTACAGGTTCCATTTTCGAGCCAACGGTTTCCTACAGCAGAGCAAAGATTGCCTGAAGCCACTCCAAGTCACCCACTGACATTTAGAGGTGCTGAATGCATCACCGCAGCTGATGGCAAGTCAAGTGCGCAGAGAACGTGCCATGTGTACTAGTGTTCTGTTTTTAAATGCCCAATGCACGAATGATAAATGACTACTGGCATATCATTCCCTTATTATTTTCCTGGAACTCTTCAGTGATAAACTGTGATTGCAAATCATTATTTGGCTTCGGGTAAAACCGGATCCTCTGATTCCCAGAAAAGAATGTACATGTACACGTACATGTACACTGTAAATGTTGAATATTATATGTACATGTACCGGTACATGTACTGCACACATGGTACGAACATAAGCAAGGGGGTGGGGGGATTTTTAAATCTAAAAAAATGTAGCTCACTTTAACAGCAAAATGAGCTTCAAACGCATCAGTGCTCAAAACCGGGCATGCAAAATAATATTGTTTGGCAACGCATCACGCTTCTGGCACACTGGCAGATTCCAATCAGATATTATTCAAGTATGGCTGAACTCTGCAGCAGGCCCCGAAATCTAATATCAGATTCTAATAAGTGTCCCACGGAACCGTTGGGCGATTCTAATGACTCTGAAGTGCTGTCTGTACGTGGCAGACTGACACATTCTTTGCTCCTTTTATCGCGCAGTGTTACGTACACGTGCCGGGGCGTGACTCCGAGCTGATAAATGTATCGGTACAGTACATGTACATGTACATCCTGAGAATGTGAATGTTAAAGCAATTAATTTCAAATTGTAACAATTTATTCTGTGAATGATTTAAGAGAACACAAAGGCAGTGAGACATATCGGTATGGTACAATAAATTCACTTATGGCTTGCCTTGATGAACCTTCTGTCGATGTGTAAATCGTAAATCTCAAATAAGCATCTAGATGCTCGTTTCGTAGGTTTTATTACCCTTCCAAATGATATAAACAGTGTGAAGACTAGGAATGATTTTCAACATGTACATGTATGACTCGTTTAAAAATTAGAAAAACCTTTGGAAATTTTAGTAATTTTTTTGTACATGTACCGGTACACGTACATGTATGCACTGCACCTGTATTGTAAACATTACTTTTGTAATGACGAAAGTTTTACCGAAACATCAACATCTGAACACAATCCATATGTATTTGTGAGGGGATCATTGGCCAAGGTAATCCCAAATATGCATGTACATGTACCATGCACTACTTGCTACAAAAGGTTGTACACACTGTCCAGTACAAGAAACTTTAACTGTAGCCTAAATCAGTTCAGGCCACTGAAGTAACTGTCCATGACCTGGACGTATACACCTGCATGTATAGATGTACATGTACACTGACCCTATCCCAGGGCACTGGGAAAAAGTGCCCTGGGACACTAAATGGTAAACAGGAGGAGGTGTGTGTTGTGTATTCAGACTGGATAAACATAGGGCATGCAAAAAAAGATGAAAAAACCACACTACAATGTGAGAAAGTGAGCTTGTGTGCTTATACGTAAACAAAGTCTTTTCCCACAATTACTGTACAGGTACACAGGTACAGGTCCTCAAGAATTTCTTTTCACTAACAAATTTGCATCAAGCCACACAAAGAAACTCATGTAAATGCAGCAGAATGCGTTCAATGTACATTCCATGGACAGTACATTCCATGTGCGCTCTTGCCCAACAAGAAGGAAGCGTTACCAAGGAAGCATTTTATTCACGATCCGTCTGACTTTTCAGGGTAGTTGTAATGTTCAATTTCAATCTGACTGGTCACTGCTCACCAATGATGTGGCTAAAAGGCCCCAACTTATCAGATCAATTTGCTTTCTGCTGCCCTGGGTCTATGAGCTGATAAAAATCCCCAGTCACGATTTAAGCACTCTTTATTTTTGCACAAAGCAGACTGATGATGATTGAGAGACAGACAGTAATCTATTAATCAATAGCAACAGCTGCGCTGGTCTGGATTAATATCGTTCTTGATGAGGGAGCTTAAGGGACACTTTGAAAAAAAGAGATTTGGGGGTGTACCCAGTACAGTGACTGTCATGTACATGTAAGACAGATTACTTGCATGTACTGTTTATGTAATTGATTATTTTAATCAGGGTGCAAAATGTACGCACCACATTTTTACATGCACCAGTACATACATGACACAAGAAGTAACGAGAAATTTTATAACCCTTCAAAGTGCACCATACACGCGCATGGTTGGAAATAAAGACAATATCATCAATGGCAATCATACATAATTTCTTGAAGAAATGTCCAAAGGCCAAACCGTGCCACCATGACTACGTGAGCAGGTACATGTACATGTACACAACGGCAAAGAGGTCCACATTTGCAAGATTCGGTCACCGGTATAAGTACATGTACATGTATGTATCATGTACACACGTACTTGTACAGCTGTACGCACTAGTACTGGTAAATGATCATCATGGCATAGTGCCATCTGACACCGTTTTATGATGTGTGCAGTGCACAGATGTCAAAACTCACACGTCTCATCTGGTAACACTTGTTTCATAAAGTGAACTCAAGTGTGCACTTTTTATATGCCTACAGGAAGGGGATATTCAGCCTTATTCCAATTATGGTACGGTATGGTAAATACCGGTGAGGGCAACATTTTCCGAGCACTTTTTAGCTCGGAATGTGTTAAATACTCAAACTCAAACTCACAACAGAGCCTGAAAGCAAAAAGTCATGCAGCAAGCTTCTGGAACATTCGCATGGTCCGCCTAGGGGGATCTTACATGGGGTCGTCTTATCACCTGTCGATAAGTTTTGGAAGAATGCTTCCTAAGTGAAACCACCCCAAGAAGCACTGACATCAGAATGTTTCTTAGTTTTCCTCAAGCAATATTTGGGAAAACGTCAATTGGAGATGGATAAAAAAAAGGAAATTCATTCATGAAACTTTCCCTTCTGGCAATTATCGTTCCTACAGTGCAGGTAGGTCTCCTTGTTCATGCAGGTTTGTAATCACTTCAGGGGCCTACGTGAAAACGAGATTGTCTAACGCTGCAAACATTTACCTACTGCAGTTGATGGATTTTAGATTCAGTCGAGTTGAGATGATGCAGATCTTGTCAGTAAGGATTAGATTAAACGTTAAAATCTTTTGTAAAATTAGATTAATGCTTTAATTAATTTTTCAAACTTCGTAAAATATTTTGATCTGTTTTGATTTTGCCTTTTACCGACAAACTATTATAAAGTTTAACTCCATAAATATTCATCTGTGTAAGAGACGGCCGAATTGCACTGTGCATGTACATGCACATGTACCTATATTGTAGATTTTTGACAGTGAACAGCGAAGGGTCAATTTTTGACTGACTAGTTCGATTTAGTTTATTTTCTTTTTCCAGATTCCAAAGGTCTTTTCCTGGGTTGAATTTTTAAGAAGTAACTGAACGAAGATATATTACATATTCTTAAATTTTTGCATGGCTTCGAGTCCAGAAATGCGTCATCAGGGGTCAACTTTGAGGCTGTACTGCACATGAACATGTAACACTAGGAGTCTTTCAATACATGTACAATGTACATGCAGAACATGTACAATGTACATGCAGAACATGTACAATGTACATGTATGTATGCATGCATGCCACACCCAACTTGCGTACAATTATAGCCAACCCCTTTACATGTATACTGACAATACATGCCCACTATAGGATGACAAGCCCCTCCAGATCCGCAGATTAAAAATGACCCACTGAATCCAATGCAGGATTGAAGACCCTAGCTACATGTACATGTATCACATGTGTACATGTGACTGTCTGAAATGACAGCAATGCAGGGAATGCACACATGTGCCACACATGCCGGCACACATTTCATTTTTTTTCTCCAAAAAGCCTTTCAACACTGACTGCAACACAGAAGTGGCAAAGTTCCTCACCAGAATTTTTCTACCAATTTAGTACCAGCGATACATAATGCACCTTTCCAAAATGATGAGTAACTTTGCATTTTAGTTGTTTTAGTTGTTAGCGGTCTTTTATCCCCATTAACTTGCAAAGTTTTACATACCCTGCCAAAAGGGAACATACGGAAGGAACTTTCTTCGCTGGCAAAAACCAACATGTACAATGTACAATCATAACCATACCGTACATGTACGTGATACACAACACATTTCACTCTTTTCAGTGATCACTTCCTACACAGAAGAGGCATTATGATTACACTACATGTACAGTGTAAATGTAGTGTAATCAGAGGATGCATCCTTTCACTTTACACTGACACACTGGACAAGCAAATTTAGCTTCCTGATCTGCACACATGGTGCATGATATGTGGGAACATTTTGAGATGACTGTCATTTGTATGGCCTACAGGTACTAAACATCCTACAAATTGGTAACCTGCTTCTACGTATTATATCAATTGTGGAACGTACACCAGTGAATAGTCAGAAGCCATTGCGGAAGTTTTGTTCAAAGGATATTATGAAGGTACCGGTACAAGGTATAAGACTACTCCGCTTCCGCGTACTCTTTTGCACATGGTTTCACGTTTTGCAGGACACCTCCTTGCGCTCATTCGTTTCACTTCATCCATGTCATCATACATGTACATGTACTTCATAGACCTGGAGTAGAAAAACAATTTCTAACAGACATCCTCGCATAGTCGCACTCGCCAAGGCACACATCCGCCAAGACATCGCCCACCGTCGCTCTCGATCGCCCACCGTCTGAGCGTATATTTAATGTTTTCTACATGTATTGCCAAAAATACTTTCCTACTGTTGTCAAAAAGGTTAAATGTAGATTTCCATCACACCATGATGGGATGTGCCCTGGCTGGCCAGTGTTGAGGGGTCAATTTCTTTTGTTAAAAAACTCAGATATGAAAGTCTGCATGTTGGTGCCATCAAGTTTACATTTTCAAAATATGAAGTATATTTTTTCTAGGTCTGTTTTTTAGAAGATATTCTTTCCACTATTTCCTTTTACAAGCTCAATTATTTTGAGGTTTGTTTTTACTAGTTACCTGTACGTACTCGTAAAAACGAACCTCAAAAAAAATTTGGAAGTTTGTCTAAATGAGATATAAACTCAAACTTGGAAATGCATGTCTTTTACAAATTAACTTGAGAAAATACATGTATCTCTCATAAAAACAAACTTGATCAAACTTGATCGATGTCTCACAAAATACATTTTCATAGAAAATGATAGAATTAGAAAGAAACAATGTTCTTACGAATACATGATGTACATCTCAGAAGAATGAACTGGAGAATACATATCTCGTACCAGCTTACACACATAAACGGTACATGCAAACTTCGGAAAAAACATATACCGGGTACACACGTATACTGTAAAAGTGAAGTTGGGAAAAATATACTTCATAAAAAGGAACTTTGACATACATACTGGTGTGTACATGTACACTGTACATGCACTTCCCTTTTTGAAAATATACAATATCCTTGATGGCACTACAGGGCTTTCACATTCTAGAATGAGATGTGGGGAAAAAAATCACGCCCATGGTGATTCTGTTCCTACGGCAATTATCATTCAACACATGCAGCCCCAATGACTGCAGTGTCAGTATTATAAAAACATCACACATAAATGTACTGCATTGTAGTACATGTACTGAATGTAATGACAGAGTAACCAGTCATGTGTATGTATCAGGACGAACAATGACAAAGGAATGCTATAGTCACAGCTCATTTCGTTCTCATTTGCAGGGCCTGTGATGTGTCTCAACTCCACCGT